TTGAGTCTCTTTATTGTTACACACTTCACTCGAACTGAAAATGGGCTCGAGAAGCGATATTCATTCGCATAGAGTGGTCTAGGACTCTTCGGTTTGCGAATTATGATATGCCTATTACGGAACGCCAAATTTTTTGGGCTAATGAAATTAAGAGATTAGGGAACACTTTATGTGTTGGCGAGGAGGGTGGGAAATTAAGCAAGAAATATATGTGTTTTGTTATTAAGCTTCCTTCCAAAATTACAGGATTTTACTCATTTATCCTCGAATTTGTTGAAACACTTCTTTTGCTTGTTAGTCAGTTTCCAAACTACCAGTAGACCGTGTATAAAAGCCGTATGCACCCTATTTCGTGTTAAGTGATGAAAGTCTGGCATCTGCATTTTCCCACAATAATATTAAATCCTTTTAGGGAGCAATGCTATGTGAAAATGTCATGTCTAGACTTTCACCACCTTAAACTAAATAGGATGAATAGAGATACGAATGCTAGTTAATTCAGCAATTGCCCAAAATTGCGTAATCGTGATGATAAGACATTTTAGGTCAAATGGAAAAGGTGACCATCTCGATTACCTTAGGATATAAATTACTGCTATTCCCCGATTACTTGGTACTACCACTTTCCTTTTTTACTTCGGACGAGCACATACACACAGTTGCGTATGGCTTTTTGTACCTGACGTTGATTAGGTTTATGAATAAATCTTGTAAGGGAAGACTGGCCGGTTAGTAATCATTAACTTGTTGTAAGCACAAGATTAGATTGAGATGTGTTCACCCTATTTCGTGTAAAGTGATGTAAGTCCGGTAGTTGAATTTTCCCACAATGATTTGATATTACATTTCATATGATCTTACTTTTTCAAAAGGTGTTCTCATCCAGGATTAAGTGGACTGTAGTTTCGACCTCAACCTCCTAACGGAAGACGAACCATGCCAGTGCAGCATTTAAGCTCGACACGTTACACACTCCATCCCATTGCTACGAGTGCCCTTGAGTTTCGGGGCAGATTCGAATTTCAAGGAAGGTCAGGCATTTTCCATATCATATTCTGTGTTGCAATTGTCGATGAAGCCAACTTATATTTGCTATAGCAATCGACTACATTACTTTTATCGTTATTGAGTAGGTTTTCGAGACTAGCAGTAAATTAGATATATGAGATGTGTTCTGCCTATTTCGTTGAAGGTGATGAAGAACTGGTTGTTCAATTTTGCCACAACAATATGAGTGGAGCTGACGTTTCCATTGAATTTCACACATACTTTTTTTCCTAAAAGGTATTCTCATCCAGGGTGGACTGCATTTTCGACCCTGCCTAGGCCTTTTGGGAAAGCAAAGCTCTGTGAAATTAAATGGAAAACATCAGCTCTACTCATATCATTGTTGGAAAATTCAACTACCAGTCTTTCGTCACCTTAAACGAAATATGGTGAATGCAACTCATATATCTGATTTACTGGTAGTCTCGAAAACCTACTTAATATCGGAAAATGTGTCCTTGTTTTAAGGACGTCTGTTAAGTGATATAACAGACGAAAGATCAGCACTTTTTCGCCGGAGCCGAACGAGATCACCTTGAAGACGGTGTCAGCCAGACCGTTTTAGTAAAGCCAAGCCACAGCCAGCCCTCGTCTTTTGAATGGTCCACCTTCCAGCCTCTTCAGCACACATAAACTTTCCCCGGAACTGGAGGCGAGCCGAACAAATGCAAACTAACTTTTCTTTGTTGGTATGGCGACCACTGTCTCTTTTCATTGTGCGGATCTGGCTTGATCCAGCTTACGCAATTTGTAGTGCTCTCTTAGTGACCTTTGTCTCGTAGCGTTGCTTTCACGCCTTCTTCCAGCCTCTCTTCAATGAGGGCCTTTGATCTCAGAAGTTTCTGTGAAAACCTCAACCATAGCACCGAGTTGAAATTCGTCATACGAGGACAAGATTGGTTATTCGGTGATGAGAAGAGGGCGCTTCTACCTGACGCTGTTGATCACTCTTCCGGCGAGTCCGGTCAACGATGCCATGCTATAAGAATACCAGTCAACAACTTGATTACGCAGAAGCTACATTTTTTCCAGCCACCCTGGCGACACTACCAAGTTTCAAAAATTAGGTTGAACCATCTTCTCCTTTCTACTGTTTACGCCGGCATTGCTAATATTCTCTTTTTTTCTTTTTTTTTATGCCAGTCCCTTCCGGCCTCCAGCGGCCGTTGCGCTGTCGACGAACTGGTAGACCGTCTGCTGGACCATGTGGAGCCTCGCATGCGCGACTGCTTCGACCGACAGTCCGACAAGGTAGGCCTATTTGCCCTCAGCTGGTCTGATACTTTCTTTTATAATTACTTTGTAGAGAAACATAGACAATTGGGGATGCACACACACACGCACACACACAAGAAAACACTCATTCTTAGCATTCAAAGTGTTTCCAAGTCTGTCTATTTCAATGACCTCTACAATTTGGCATTCGGTAGCGGATATTTCATAGTTTGTAAACTGAAGAGTCTCAGATCACTCCATGCGAATAAATGTTGGTTCTCGAGGAGTCTCTTAGTTTATACTTCCTGTTTGAGTGAAGCGTTTGGCAATGAGGAGATTTGAAGGTGGATTCTACCAGAGAATGACGGTGGATCCCTCTCGATCAGCTGTCGATTGACTTTTCTGGAACATTCTTGATGACGCTGTCCTCAAAGAAGACACCCTCGGTTCCGGTGAAGATGACTAATTACTTTGAGCTATAACCGCTGGTTTCGGAGACAGGCTTACAACGAAAGGCACATAAGCACATAGGCGCTCACACATTCACAGGTTTCTAGATTGCATGCTTATGTAAACTAACCTAATCACCTTACACCTCATCAAAATATATTGAGCATGTGGAGTAAGCAGGTGAGTTTGTAGGAATATGTTTGTAGGAATCATACCCTGCCTTGATACTATCTATTATATGAAGAAGAAAATTTAAGCATTTCTTCTCTGGAATCGAATCTTGTTGATGACTGACCTCAAAGGAATCGTATTTTGGTCTCATCAGCCTTCGAATATCTTTATTGTCAGATACTCTGACTCAAAAGGTAAATAAGCTCAACAATTGTATACCAGGGGATTCCTTGAAAATCTAC